ATCAGAAGATAAATAATACTCCCTTGTTTAATATAATTATATCAGAAGATATATAATACTCCCTTGTTTAATATAATTATATCAGCAGATAAATAATACTCCCTTGTTTAATATAATTATATCAGAAGATAAATAATACTCCCTTGTTTAATATAATTATATCAGAAGATAAATAATACTCCCTTGTTTAATATAATATATCAGCAGATAAATAATATTATCTTGTTTAATATAATTATATCAAAAGATAAATAACATTCCCTTTCAGAAAAATTTTGCATGTTGAGCTAGGTTTTTTTTTTTTTTGTGTTGTTGTTGTTGTTTTTTCTAACTTTGCAAAATCAGATGTTAAAACTTAACTTTCTTCTCAGACATTAGTATCTTGATATTAGTGTTCAATGCAACAGTTAGCTGTCCTACTATGATGCCCTTGCTGGAACAACATACACTGGATCATTATTCTTATCTTTCTGATACCCTGCCATCTTTGATTCCAAAGTTGAAGGTATGTGATACCTGTTTCTTTAATATGATCTCTGTGTTATTATTAGAAGTAAAAGCCCACTGTGCTTAATTCAGAAAACTTTTTTGTCTATCCATTATTGTAAACCTTTTATGTCTACAAGATAGTTCACCTTCCATACATGATTTATAATTGTAGAGAAAAACTGGACAGTTTCTTAGTGTCATTGGTTTCAAAGGAAAATTCGGAAACTGTTTTTAACCATTTTGCACTGAGAAAACATTTATATTTACATAATGAAAAACCTATCATCGAAAGTGATCGTGCTCTGTTCATTGTTAAGATGAGGAAAGATCAAAGTGTGTCTATGTCCAATGATTTTATTTCTTTAATGTGTTCTCTTATTTGTGCAGAACCTACCAAATGTGTATTACATCAAGAACTTTTAGATCAGCAAGTCTTGTATATTGAAATGTGAATTTGATATTTTTTTTTTTTGATATTATAAGCTTGCACTAAATGCCCACATTTCTTGTCTTCAGATGATATTAATCACATTTTGCGTGTATGTAGCTCCCCAACCATACAGAATCACCCCCCGAGAGAGTCTCATCGTCAAGACAGTCTCGCTCGTTTCTGCAAGATGTGCTTCAGAGGGTGTCGGATGCTGATTGTAAATCTTCTTCTGTACAACAGTGTATCCTGGAAACTTCTATAAGGTAAAAGCTTTCCTTTCTCCACTGTCTAAGTTAGAGGGATTCCATGTCGGATTTATCCCGTACAACATATGCCACACATTCTCTATCAAAGATTTTAGAGGCTGAATATATAGCAGTTATCCTTCAGTCATTCCCTACATGGCAAAAGTAAACATTTTTCAGTGAAATATAAATCCTTTTAAAGCTTAGGTTGAAAAGGAATGAAGGAAGGAAGTATTAAGCTAATTTGAATTTGAAGTTAATTTTTATTGCCTTTTTTTCCCTTAAGGACTGTTTAAAACTGTATATCAATGAAAAAAATATTAAATTCTATAAAATATAATATTCATAAGAAAGACAGTAAACCAACAGATGTTATTGATATTCTATACAAATTATTGTTTTTCAGACTTGTTTACTCTTACAGTTTCTGACTTATACTTAGCTTAACCTAACGAATGAAAAAAGAAATAAAGATCTTTATTTACAATTATCAAAAAAAAACATAAAAACTACAGATAAAGGCCTATTAAGTACAGTACGATGAATGTAAATGTTAGAGCTTAATTAAATAATACCTTAAAAACAACCTAATAACAATAAAAAAATTTTCTAATGAATATCTTATGAAACATTACTAAAACATACATGATTAAACTTTAACTGTCAAGTATATATTTTAATCATAATGTGTGATGTTTTTTTTCCTATTCCATAAATACCTTGGTAAGCAGAAGCTGACACTGTATGTACTGACTAGCACAGTTGGCTGCAGCCGAAAGAGATGGTTCAATTTCTGAAAGTCGTTGAAGGTCCCTGCAATAAATCACACGTTAAATATAAAAGGAGATATTTTTCTTTAACGATAACGGAACAGACTGTGCTCTTATTCCATCTTATAAATCTCGAACTTGTGTGAAGTTATACTTGTAACATAATCTAATCATGGGAGTGTTGATAGTTGGGAAGCTAAATTATTGTACTTGAATATATTACATGTTGTTGTTGTTAGCTAAGTATTTGTTCATGATGGACCTGGTGGGTCAGTAGTAACCTTATGGACAAACATCGCTAAAATCCAACATCCAAGTTCCAATTATCAAGAAATGGCAGATATCCCATTGTGTAGCTTTGTACTAAAATAACACTGAAATGAAACATTTTTTTTACTTTATGATTTGTATTAAACTGACCCAAGAAGCAAACCTGTCAGTACTGTTTTTTTTTCTTCTGTGTGCGTGTGTGTTTAATGCTGTATTATGTTAACTTCAGTATTGTTTATGTATTATGTTAACTTCAGTATTGTTTGTGTGTGTGTGTTTAATGCTGTATTATGTTAACTTCAGTATTGTTTGTGTGTATGTGTTTAATGCTGTATTATGTTAACTTCAGTATTGTTTGTGTGTGTGTGTTTAATGCTGTATTATGTTAACTTCAGTATTGTTTGTGTGTTTAATGATGTATTATGTTAACTTCAGTATTGTTTATGTGTGTGTATTTAATGCTGTATTATGTTAACTTCAGTATTGTTTATGTGTGTGTTTAATGCTGTATTATGTTAACTTCAGTATTGTTTGTGTGTGTTTAATGCTGTATTATGTTGCATTAAACACACATACATAAACAATACTGAAGTTAACATAATACAGCATTAAACACACACACACACATAAACAATACTGAAGTTCAAACAATACTGAAGTTAACATAATACAAAACACACACACACAGTTAACATAATACAGCATTACAGCATTAAACACACACATAAACAATACTAAAGTTAACATAATACAGCATTAAACACACACAAAAACAATACTGAAGTTAACATAATACAGCATTAAACACACACACAAACAATACTGAAATTATGTTAACTTCAGTATTGTTTGTGTGTGTGTGTGTGTTTAATTCTGTATTATGTTAACTTCAGTATTGTTTGTGTGTATATTTTAATGCTGTATTATGTTAACTTCAGTATTGTTTGTGTGTATATTCTAATGCTGTATTATGTTAACTTCAGTATTGTTTGTGTGTATATTCTAATGCTGTATTATGTTAACTTATTACAGTACCCAGTAATGAGCTTACAGATTATATCAATAAAGTTAAACATATTTTAAAACATGAAACTATATGTAAGAATTTCAAGGAAGATCACACAGAAATGGTAGAAAACTTTGAATATCTTTTCCTCATAAGTGGACTTAACCAAATTGAAACCCTAAACAGCTCAATTGTTTTAATATAATCTTGTAGTGCAATATTTATAGTAAAATAAATAACAAACAGGTGTGTCACAAGTAACGATTTATTTCTTGTTTTTTCACCCCCAGATCCTTTCCAATAAGAACTGGTTAAGCCCATCAACAATGGTATCTTTTCAAGGTCACTCTCTGAAGTCTTCATTGGATCAGGTAGAGATTACATTATGGAGTGTTTGTATTGTGGTATTTCCACATTGGTGCATGTTATCTGTCAATTATACTATGTGATATGAAAAAAAAAAGACCCAAGTTATAATAAATGGCAAACTGTAAAGATATAATGTAAAAGTGACTAAGTTGAACAGGAAAGAAATTGGGAAAAACTTGGGCCTTTTTTTATATACAAGTTGCTGCTGTTCCAGTTGCAATAAATAAAATGCAGGCCAAGTTTTCCCTCCAATATCTTCTTATTTATCTTACCCAGTTTTACGCTGCATCTTTCAAGAGTTTTCATTGTATATAACTTGGTTCTTTTCTTTCTTTTTTTTTTATGTATCACATCTTTATATGGTCAACCCTTTTGTTCTACCTCAACAGTTTTTGTAAATGTAAAATGCTGTGATCAGATACCACTACTTTCTCTTTTGACAAGCAACGTCACTTCTATTATTTTACAAGTACTAAAAGATGTAAAGTCTACACTTCATGAACCAATATTTATGTATCTAGTTTTTGTCTATTTACGAGTCACACTAGACAGACTGCAACATCTTTTCTATGTTTAAGAACAGTAAATGTTTTTAATGAAGAATGTATAGATTTTTTAGTACATATATTGTTAATTTTTCAAGTATTTTATTTTTATGTTAATTAAAACCTGAACACCCTGGATTCGTCCATTTACGCTTTCTGGCTTTGACACTGGTAAGGAGCAAGAAGATAAATGATCAAAACAGCAATATTTTTTTACCATTCTCTTAATGCTTATTTTGAAATTAATGTGTAACAGATATATAATACATTTTAATCTGGAATATTATTTTGAACTTAATTAAATATCCAAGCAAAGTAGGATTTAAATTCTACTTTGACATCTGCTCAATTCACCTATTTCAAGTTTTTTCCTCTTAGACCTTTAAGCCACCAGTTTTAGTCTAGTGGCTGCATAGAGACATTGACTGTTTAAATTGTCTAAATGTATAAATATATGTGATACAGTTATCAAAATCAATATCCAACAGTGTGGTTTTATTTCTTAACAGTCTTCCTTTTTTTTATTTTTAATATGTAGAAGAAGAGAAATAATTTTACCATTTTCTTTACTGCTTTTTTACTCCTAATATTAAACAAATATGAAGTGGCTCTTTTTTAATGTGACGTAAGAAGATCTCTTCAAAAACAAGAATAATGGATTCCAACATTTGGAACAGCTGTGGCAGTTATCCATATTAGGCCGATTCCAACATTTGGAACAGCTGTGGCAGTACTCCATATTAGGCCAGTTCCAACATTTGGAACAGCTGTGGCAGTACTCCATATTAAGCAGAAAGTAATATTCCAGATCTCAAACTTGCCTGAGTCACTGTTGTGCCTCTTGATGGTTTCCCTTGCTTGATTTCAAGTAATTTAGTTGTGATTATTTTTATGTTGCTATATTTAAGAAACAGAAATATCTTTACTTCTGCAGTGCTTCTACTTGCTCAAGAAATGATTCACAAAGCCCTAAAGCTGACACATTACTTCCTCGAATGACAACTACCAGCTGGAGGGCAAGAGCTCGAAGTCGCAACTGACGTACTCGTGCCATCTCAGAAAATCGGAGTCCTAAAAACTGGTGACTCAAACAGAAGGACAGGTGGAGAAGCTGAAATAAAAACAGTAATGGCAGTTAGTTTGAAATATTCCAATTATACTTTTAAATACTGATGTTGTGAAACTGTCAGGATTTACACGATGGTCCTCCAGGTAACTAGTGTTTAGAGAGAAGTTGAATTATGAATTGTCCTTAAGGTAACTAGTGTTTAGAGAGAAGTTGAATTATGAATTGTCCTCCAGGTAACTGGTGTTTAGAGAGAAGTTGAATTATGAATTGTCCTTAAGGTAACTAGTGTTTAGAGAGAAGTTGAATTATGAATTGTCCTCCAGGTAACTAGTGTTTAGAGAGAGAAGTTGAATTATGAATTGTCCTTAAGGTAACTGGTGTTTAGAGAGAAGTTGAATTATGAATTGTCCTTAAGGTAACTAGTGTTTAGAGAGAAGTTGAATTATGAATTGTCCTTAAGGTAACTAGTGTTTAGAGAAAAGTTGAATTATGAATAGTCTTAAAGGTAACTAGTGTTTAGAGAGAAGTTGAATTATGAATTGTCCTTAAGGTAACTAGTGTTTAGAGAGAAGTTGAATTATGAATTGTCCTTAAGGTAACTAATTCAACTTCAAATACATCCTGTTTTTATAGGCTTGGATTTAGGTCACTGATGAAGATGTAATTTTTTTTTGTACTTATTTCTTCAAAGATAATAGTTGGAAAATTGTGGAACAAAACTGACTGTTAAGTTTGTTATAGTTATTCAAACTTAAGAACTAGAGACATTTTATACATTCATTAACAGTCTTTGAACTGTACATGTAGTTTTGGAAATATTCAGTACCTTCTTTTCTGAGACATTGCCCATTAGTGATATCCAGCTATAAATTGAAAGTTAATTAAGCATATATAAATGACTAATTTGAAACTAAGATGAATGAAGTTTCAGGTTAGGTTTTTTTTCTCTTAACGACAGAAACTTACTTGGAAAAAATGTACCTAAAAAAAATAAATCAAAGTTTTGGGTCATATATAATGCAGTCAAATTTAATTTACTATATTATTACGTTGGCAATTTAATATTAATAGCAGACGTTTTATTTGAACAGCAATCAAATTTAAAATATGCAGTAGCTTTAATTATTTAAATGCAAGCTTTGTTTTACACACTTATCAAAAGGGAATTGGATAACCTAGAAGATCCAAAACCGGGGTCCGTTGCTCGAGTATTACAGCCTTTGCTTCTTGCTCATCCTTGTCCTTCTTTCCAACTTCAGTATGGAGATGAGATGGATGAAGTTGGACTTGAAAGAATAACTGAAGCAAAAGCAACTATTCACGAACCTTCTGCAGAATCTGATAATCCACTAAAGTTCACAGCGGGTCTTGTGCTGGCAGTACCTCTGGATGCTCACATCGAAAATGTGGAAAATTTCCACAATGTGCGACTAAAGGTGAAGTTTAAAGGTTTCGCCAAAGTAAGAGTTCGTAAGCTTTGTTAAGCAAATTCCCTCATTCATGCAGAAGTAATCTTTAAATATTCTAACACCCATAGTTTCTATGTCAATTCTACTAGTTAAGGATTTCAAAGTTAAAGAACCACCAGCTTTTTTCTTTATCCCTACAGCACTGAACAATAAACATTCTATTCAAGAAGAAAAGGATGTGTTTATACCATCTATCTTTATCTTCTAACCATGATACATCTCTCCACCACCAGCTTGTGTGTGAGTGGTATAAAATTAATAGCAAAAGATGAATTTTGAAAAACGTAGCTAATTATAACACACATTTTTATTTTTCATCAACATACGTTTTTTGCTTTGTTTTTTTCTAACATGTTAAAAATATATATACACACCGTAGTCACAAGTAAATAGACACCACCTTTTCAGAAAAAATGAAATTTTTCAGTCATATTCACATGAATTGATATATTTATAATTTAATTAATATCTAGTAGATCTTCCTTTTGGTTCGTGGAGTTCGTTGATCCTTTGGAGCATTGTGAGAATCATCTCATAAATTTTTTTAGATTGTGGGATTTTCGCCCACTCTTGCTTCAAAACTTGGAGTAGATCGCTCTTCAAAGTTGGTTTTTTTGGTTGTTTCTTGACTTGCCGGTCGAGTGTGGCCCAGAGGTTTTCAATGGGGTTCATGTCAGGAGATTGGCTCGGCCAGGGCAACTTCTGGATACCATTTTCTTCCTGATACTTTTGGGTGTTTCTAGCAGTGTGACACGGTGCTCCATCTTCCTGGAACAATGTTGTTTTCTTGTCCACGAAACCCGAGGAATAAAGTGGCAAAAGTCCTTCCTCCAATATTTCGACATATTTCACAAAATTTATGTTGCCAATGCACTCCACTTAGCTCGATCTCCCACCAACCAAAACAGCTCCCCAAACCATCATGCTGAAACCACCATGCTTCACAGTTGGCTGCAATCTGTTGAGCCAAAACTCTTGGTGAGGCATTCTCCAGCCTAATATCCTTCCACTTTCCGAAAATTGAGTGAATCTTGATTCGTCTGAAAACAATACGGTCTTCCAAAAGTCCAGAGGCTTGGTCATCATATCACTTGCCCACTTC